CGCCGCCTCGCGCTGCATGGAGCGTGGCGGCGTCCCGCGCCATGGCCGCTGCCGCGCCTCGGCTCTGCTCCTTCGAGTCGTGCAGATAGCCGTGGAACCCGGAGCTGCCCCGGCGGCCCCAGCGCTGCACCGCCTCGGCGTCGCCCAGCGCGTGCCGCAGCGCCGGGGCGCCTCCGATGCGGAGGCCGCGCGACTTGAAGCGCCGTGGGGGGGGGCCCTCGGCGGCCGCCGCGCGCTGCAGCGCCGCCTGCAGCTGCTCCCTCTTGACCACCTTCCCGCTGCGCCAGTGGAAGAGTGGTCGGCCTGGGCCCTGCCAGATCATGCCGGCGCCCAGGGCGAAGGCCCGAGCGTCGATGCCGCCCCAGACAGACTTCGCTCCCAGGGCGCCGCTGGGGTCTGGACGGCACTCGCCTCCGTCGTGGTTGGGGGGCCCTCCCGCGGACCGGGCGCTCGTGGGCTCGGCGGGCGGGGCCCGCCCCGGGGGCAGCCCCCTCCTCCGGCGTGCGAGTCACTCCTGGATGCCCTTCTTCTTGGCCTCGGCGTCGCGGTCGCTGCAGGCGCCCGCGTCTGCCTCCCAGTCGAGGTCTGCGCCGGCCCAAAGGGCCGCAGCTCCTGCCAGCCTGGCGCCGGTGTCCCCCGCCACCACTTCCGCGAGGCGCTTGGCGGCCTGCTTGTCCCGGCTGTCGGGCAGGTCCTCGAGCGCGCCGCCGACGGCGAGCCATGCCCCCTCATGGGTGACGCGCCGCGCCCCGTGGCCCGGGCCCTTGAAGTCGCGCGTCAGGGGTGGTGGCTGCCTCCCCCAGTCGGGGGGGGGGGTCGGCAGCGGGCCGCCCGCGGTGTAGACGACCTCCCTGCCCTCCGTGGTCCACGGGTGGCCGATGCCGATGGGTAGAAGGCGCTCGTCGGCACGTCGTATCCGCGGGTCGGCCTCGAAGCGGTCCCCGAGCAGCCAGACATCGTGATGCAGCGCGTTCGGGTGCTGCAGGATGGGGCCGACCGCCGGCGCAATAGGGCGCTTGAGGTCGAGCGTGTCGAACGCCCGCGCCTGCTACTCGTCGCCCGCGCGCCTCGCCCCGAGCAGCACGGGGCGTCTGTGCGCGACCAGCTCGCCAACCTCCATCGCGAGCAAGTCCTCGATGTAGACGGTGAAGCCCTGCTCCCGGAGGGCACGCGCGGCCTCGTCCATGGACGTCTGCCTGGGGGCGTCGAGCGCCGCCCTATGTGCCCCCAGCTGCGCGGCAATCGTGGCCGCTGTGAACGCGCTGCCGCCAATGGGGTCGGGGCCGAGCGTCGCCGGCGCAACCCAGACAGGGCCGTGCTCTGGGGCGGGGTCGACGCCGAGGGGGGCGACATGGGCCTGTCCTCCTTGCCGTGTCCAGGCCTTGCAGAAGAAGCCTGCGCCGAGGCCCCACTCGATAGCCTGGCCTGGGGCGGTGGCCAGAGGTACTTGCCTGAACCTCCTCTTCAGCCTCGCTTGGCCCGGAGGGCGATCTGGTCGGACCCGCTCTCGCGCCATCCGACTCGGTGGGCCATGCATGGCGCGCCCTCGCCCTCGGTCTCCGACTCGCCCCGTGGCTTCGGAACGTCCGTCTTGGACGGCTGCCGGCGTCGTCGTCGGCGGCGCCCGCAGCGGGCCAGGCGGCGGCAGCTGCCCCCTGCGCTGATGAGCCCCCGAAGGCGGGGCCCAGCGCACCTGCCAGCCCACGCGTGGTCCGCATGCAGCACCGGCCCAGCGCCGTGTGCTCCGCCAGCTCGTCGAGGTCGACCACCGCGTCGGCGGCCACCGCGGAGTTGGACTGAAAGTGGGCCTTCAGGGGCTCACACTCCTGGCAAGGGCCGGCCTTCCGACAGAGGTGGCGGCGCTTGATCGTCGCCTTCTCGAGGTCCTTCCGCAGCCGCCGCGACGTCGCCCCGTGCGCCGTCTCGCGGTCCGTGAGCGTTGGTCCTGGCGTCGCTCCAGCGTAGTGCCACCCTGGCGATCTGGCCGTCGACTGCGAAGACCACACGCCGTGCACTACCTGCCGGGCTCTCTGTTCAGCTGGTCGGCCGTCGCCACCCCGATGGTCTTGCTGCGGTCTGGCCCACAGCAGCGCTGACGGCACCACGAGAGAAGACCGCACAAGGGGACGTGCACCCTCGCGATCTGGATGACCTCCAGAATCCAGGCACACAACGTCAGGATCACGATGACCAGCAACGTCCCGAAGGCGACTCGAGCCGCCAGCACGAAGGAGTCCCATGACGGACCGAAGAGGAATCGGCCGACGGCGCAGATCGGGTTCTGCATGTAGCCTCCCCGTCCACCGCGGCCAGCTCCATGACAAGGAAGAAGCTGGCGACGAACCTGTACCCCACGATCAGGATGCCCGGGAACTCCTCCGACTCCGTCTGGTCGGAGCCCGCGTCGCAAACGCCGCCCTCCCCAGGGTCAGCGCAGCGCCGCGGGCGGCCGTCGGAGCTCCCGTGGTCGCCGGCAACCGAACCGTTGCCGCCGCTCGTGCCGTTCTCGGCCTCCGTCCGGTTGCCGTCCATGTAGTAGCGCAGCCGGTCCCAGTCGAACCCGGCGGCCGAGCCCGGGAGCAGCGGCGCCCGGGCCGGCCCTCGGGGCGAAGCCCCGGGTGAGCTGCGCCAGCGCCAGTGCCAGGGCCGCAGCAGCCCACACCAGCAGCATCGCGCGGCCCGGTGCCCGCGCCTCGACGCCAGTCGGGGCGCCAGGGCGAGCGGCCGCGGGGAGGCCCGGGGGGCAGGTCGGCGCCCGCTATGGCCCCCCGTCAGGGGCCCTCCTTCATTGAAAGAGAAGGGCCAAAAAGGGTCTACAGCCGATGGAGATACCCGATGGCAGCAGCACCCCCGGTTTCGCAAACGAGTTTACAAACCTACACTCCCCCTCGCACGGTTCGCGGCCCCATATGGAGCTCCACCGAAGGCCCCGAGGGGTGTGGCCACATGCGTCCCCGCCACCCAATGTCGGCATACCCCTCACACGGTTCGTGGCCCCATAAGGATCTCCACCGAAGGCCCCAGTGGTTGTGGCCACATGCGTCCCAGGTACTCACAGCTGCATCTGATTGGGTCCTTTGTCAAGCTCATGCTTCGTTGCACGTCGGAGCGTGCTTCGTTTCTCTCAGAAGGTGCTCCCGCAGCAAGTTTGGCCTCATTCCCGGATCGGCACGTTGCCACCGTCGTTCAAAATGGCGTTCTCGCCCTATCGCGGGCAGCATTTCTGGATCCGATCCCTTCATCGCCGTTGTCGCCCCCATCCTTTCCCCTCCGCCTCCGCCTTCCCCGTGTCCTCCTGCTCCTCCTGCTCCTGCTGCTTCTGCTCCTCCTCTGCCTCCTCCTTTCTCGTCCTTCTCCTCTTCCTCGTGCTCATCCGCCACCTCCGTCTCAAATGTGCAGAACTCCCTTCTCTGATTGTGCTTTGCACGATAGCGGCCGTTTTTGGGATCCAGGTCCGCTAGGAAACCAATAGGCGGATACAAGAGGATGGGTGGGTGAGGTTGGATATCAGATATAGCGCGCGCGCCTAGCTTGCCTCTCTCCCTCTCTCCCTCCCCCCTCTCTTCTCGTCCTCCATCCTACATGCACACCCCATCTATCTTCCGTCGTGCATGCTCCTCCTCCTCCTCTTCCTCCTCCTCCTCCCCTCCCCCTTCGCCACTGCCTATTCCTCCTCCCCCCCCCTTTGCCACTACCCCCCTCCCCTCTCCGTCTCACCCCCTTCCCCCTCTCCCCAGTGCCTCTCCTGACCATCCCTTTCCCCTTCCGCTCTCCCCCTGGCCCCCTCCCTTCTCTCCCACTCCCCTTTGTCCTCGGGGGACAGAAGAGGTGTGCGATACAGGGAGGGCCATGCGGATAGGTCAAGCAGAGCAGGTTCGGGCGGTGACTGATAGCGGTCTTCATCCGAATCAGAGCTCACATATCCATATCCTCCTCCGCCTCCTCCGCCTCCAACTCTGCTACCTTACTCCTGCTCTTCCTCCTGCTCCTCCTTCTCCCTCCACATCCCCCTCCCTTCTTCCTCCTCTGTTCCCTTGTCCGCTGTTGCCTTCCCCCCCCCTTCCCGGCCCGGGGTTTCCGAGTGGGTCCTCACCCCCTTCGCGCAGGGGGCCCTGGGTCATGGGGGTCAGGGTCATGGGTCCCGCCCGTCTCAACCGCCCCCTGGGCAGGCTGCCCGCAGGGCCTGGCCTGGTGGCACTCCTGGCCCACGCTGCGGAGCAGATCCACGTGTGGGAGCATGTGGCGATCTCTCTGACCTGGCTCTGTCGGCCACCCCGTCACCCCGCGCTACCCGCGCCGATGGCGTCCCCTTCCGCGGCAGAACTGCGACGCGCTGCGGCCGGCGTCTTGCCAGCAGTGCGGCTGAGCCGCAGGGCCGCGCGGACACCGAGGACAGGCTAAGGAGGAGGAAGAGGAGGAGGAGGAGGAGGAGGAGGAGGAGGAGGAGGAGGAGGAGGAGGAGGAGGAGGAGGAGGAGGAGGAGGAGGAGGAGGAGGAGGCGACAGGAGGAGGAGGAGGAGGAGGAAGAGGAGGAGGAGGAGGAGGAGGAGGAGGAGGAGGAGGAGGAGGAGGAGGAGGAGGGAGAGGAGGAGTCTGTCTGTCTGTGAGCGGCTGTGGGACGAGAGATCAGAATGACTGCTCCACTGACTGGTTTCGTGCCTCAGGATGCTCAAGCTGCACCTACACGAGGGACCGAGCAGGCCGAAGGGGCCGACCGAGGGGGCCGAACAGAGGAGGCCACGAGCGACGGGCAGGGGCCACGAAAGGCGAGGGGCGAAGAGGGAGGCGAAAAGGAGCAGGGGGCCATCCTAAGCGTGCGTCCGCCGTCCGCACCCATCGAGAGTGCGTCACACTGCCAGGTGCACGAGGCCGCACTGCCGAAGCTCAATGGCTACGGCGCGGTGCCCGCGCCCTCCGAACCCAAACTCACTAGAGCCAGGCCTCAAAAAGGATTTCATCTTCATCCTCGGCCTCTGAACTTGTCTCCCGGGCGCCTGCACTCAGGCGTCCTTCAGCACGTCGATCCAGGCCGAGATCTCGTCCTCGAGGTACCCACTCGGCGCCGCTCCCACCGTCGTCACTACTCCCATCGAGCGAAACGCTTCCATCACCTGCACCTCGAGGTCCACACGGTCCAGCGCGAACACCACCTTCAGCATGTCGGGCTGCTTGCAGCTCTCCAGGCGGCACAGGCGAACGTAGGTGGGTGGCGCCTCCTCCATCTCGGCCAAGAGTGCGACCAGGACGTCTTTGAGTCTCTTGCCGATCTCCTCGTTCGCCAGCGCCTCGATCATGGCGCAGAAGACCGCGGGCGCTGGAGGGCCCAAGCCGCGGAGTCCCTCCATCATCTTGTCGGCCTCCTGGTCGAACTGGCGGGCCGCTGCTCCGTCCGTGTCCTTCGCCGCCTTGGCCTGGTCCTTCAGCCTGCTGACCTCCGCGCGCTTCTGGTTCGCCACCTGCGCGAAGTCCTGGCCCTCCTGCTGCATCGCCTTGATCACGGGCGACTTGTCCTCCAGGATCGCTGTGCGCGTGGTGATGCCCCACATCGCTCGAGACCTCTGGAGAGGAGGAGGAGGAGGAGGAGGAGGAGGAGGAGGAGGAGGAGGAGGAGACGGAGGGGGAGGAGGAGGAGGAGGAGGAGGAGGAGGAGGAGGAGGAGGAGGAGGAGGAGGGGGAGGAGGAGGAGGAGGAGGAGCCCCAGTGTAAATCCACGACGGTTCAACGAAGTTGCAAGGAACTCTCCCTCCAAGTCTCCTCTTCATAGATCTATACCTGAATCTATTTCCCACATCCCATTCACTGTTCCCAACCATCCTGTGGTGTTGGGTCTTCGTTTTGGAGAGATGGTGCCCCGCGTTCCCGCCTCCTTCCTCCCTCCCTCCTCCCCCCTCCTCCCCCTCCCACACCCATTCTGGCACACCCCTCACACGTTTCGTGGCCCCATAAGGAGCTCCACCGAAGGCCCCAGTGGCTGCGTCCGCATGCGGTTTCACCCCCCATTCTGGCACACCCCTCACACGTTTCGTGGCCCCATAAGGAGCTCCACCGAAGGCCCCAGTGGCTGCGTCCGCATGCGGTTCCACCCCCCATTCTGGCACACCCCTCACACGTTTCGTGGCCCCATAGGGAGCTCCACCGAAGGCCCCAGTGGCTGCGCCCGCATGCGGTTCCACCCCCCATTCTGGCACACCCCTCACACGTTTCGTGGCCCCATAGGGAGCTCCACCGAAGGCCCCAGTGGCTGCGCCCGCATGCGGTTCCACCCCCCATTCTGGCACACCCCTCACACGTTTCGTGGCCCCATAGGGAGCTCCACCGAAGGCCCCAGTGGCTGCGCCCGCATGCGGTTCCACCCCCATTCTGGCACACCCCTCACACGTTTCGTGGCCCCATAGGGAGCTCCACCGAAGGCCCCAGTGGCTGCGCCCGCATGCGGTTCCACCCCCACGTTCTGGCACACCCACACGTCTTCGTGGGCCCCATAGGGAGCTCCACCGAAGGCCCCAGTGGCTGCGTCCGCATGCGGTTCCCCCACCCACCCCCCATTCTGCGCACACCCCTCACACGTTTCGTGGCCCCATAGGGAGCTCCACCGAAGGCCCCAGTGGCTGCGCCCGCATGCGGTTCCACCCCCATTCTGGCACACCCCTCACACGTTTCGTGGCCCCATAGGGAGCTCCACCGAAGGCCCCAGTGGCTGCGCCCGCATGCGGTTCCACCCCCCATTTCGGCACACCCCTCACACGTTTCGTGGCCCCATAGGGAGCTCCACCGAAGGCCCCAGTGGCTGCGCCCGCATGCGGTTCCACCCCCCCATTCTGGCACACCCCTCACACGTTTCGTGGCCCCATAGGGAGCTCCACCGAAGGCCCCAGTGGCTGCGCCGCATGCGGTTCCACCCCCCATTCTGGCACACCCCTCACACGTTTCGTGGCCCCATAGGGAGCTCCACCGAAGGCCCCAGTGGCTGCGTCCCGCATGCGGTTCCACCTCCCATTCTGGCACACCCCTCACACGTTTCGTGGCCCCATAGGAGCTCCACCGAAGGCCCCAGTGGCTGCGCCGCATGCGGTTCCACCCCCCATTCTGGCACACCCTCACACGTTTCGTGGCCCCATAGGGAGCTCCACCGAAGGCCCCAGTGGCTGCGTCGCATGCGGTTCCACCCCCATTCTGGCACACCCCTCACACGTTTCGTGGCCCCATAGGGAGCTCCACCGAAGGCCCCAGTGGCTGCGCCGCATGCGGTTCCACCCCCCATTCTGGCACACCCCTCACACGTTTCGTGGCCCCATAGGGAGCTCCACCGAAGGCCCCAGTGGCTGCGCCGCATGCGGTTCCACCCCCCATTGGCACACCCCTCACACGTTTTCGTGGCCCCACTCCACCGAAGGCCCAGTGGCTGCGCCCGCAGCGGTTCCACCCCCCATTCTGGCACACCCCTCACACGTTCGTGGCCCCATAGGGAGCTCCACCGAAGGCCCCAGTGGCTGCGCCCGCATGCGGTTCCACCCCCCATTCTGGCACACCCCTCACACGTTTCGTGGCCCCATAGGGAGCTCCACCGAAGGCCCCAGTGGCTGCGCCCGCATGCGGTTCCACCCCCCATTCTGGCACACCCCTCACACGTTTCGTGGCCCCATAAGGAGCTCCACCGAAGGCCCCAGTGGCTGCGTCCGCATGCGGTCCCACCCCCATTCTGGCACACCCCTCACACGTTTCGTGGCCCCATAGGAGCTCCACCGAAGGCCCCAGTGGCTGCGTCCGCATGCGGTTCCACCCCCCTCATTCTGGCACACCCCTCACGCGTTTCGTGGCCCCATAAGGAGCTCCACCGAAGGCCCCAGCGGCTGCGTCCGCATGCGGTTCCACACACCATTCTGGCACACCCCTCACGCGCTTCGCGGCCCCATTCGGAGCCCCACCGAAGGCCCCAGTGGCTGCGTCCGCATGCGGTTCCACCCTCCATTTAGCACACCCCTCACACGTTTCGTGGCCCCATAAGGAGCTCCACCGAAAACCCCAGTGGCTGCGTCCGCATACGGTTCCACCCCCATTCTGGCACACCCCTCACACGTTTCGTGGCCCCATAGGGAGCTCCACCGGAGGCCACGGTGGCTGCGTTCGCATGCGGTTCCGCACCCACCCTGGCACACCCCTCACACGCTTCGTGGCCCCATAGGGAGCTCCACCGAAGGCCCCAGTGGCTGCGCTCGCATGCGGTTCCGCCCCCCATTTCGGCACACCCCTCACACGTTTCGTGGCTCCACAGGGAGCTCCACCGAAGGCCCCAGTGGCTGCGCTCGCATGCGGTTCCACCCCCAATTCTGGCATACCCCTCACACGTTTCGTGGCCCCATAGGGAGCTCCACCGAAGGCCCCAGTGGCTGCGCTCGCATGTGGTTCCACCCCCCATTCTGGCACACCCCTCACACGTTTCGTGGCCCCATAGGGAGCTCCACCGAAGGCCCCAGGGGCTGCGTTCGCATGGCGGCGCCGCGCCCAATTTGGCACACCCCTCGCACGCTTCGTGGCCCCATAGGGAGCTCCACCGAAGGCCCCAGTGGCTGCGTTCGCATGGCGGCGCCGCACCCAATTTGGCACACCCCTCACACGTTTCGTGGCCCCATAGGGAGCTCCACCGAAGGCCCCAGTGGCTGCGTTCGCATGGCGGCGCCGCACCCAATTTGGCACACCCCTCACACGTTTCGTGGCTCCATAGGGAGTTCCACCGAAGGTACCAGTGGCTGCGTTCGCATGGCGGCGCCGCGCCCAATTTGGCACACCCCTCACACGTTTCGTGGCCCCATAAGGAGCTCCACCGAAGGCCCCAGTGGCTGCGTTGGCATGGCGGCGCCGCGCCCAATTTGGCATACCCATTTCACGCTTCGTGGCCCCATAGGGAGCTCCACCGAAGGCCCCAGTGGCTGCGTTCGCATGGCGGCGCCGCACCCATTTCGGCACACCCCTTACACGCTTCGTGGCCCCATAGGGAGCTCCACCGAAGCTCCCAGTGGCTGCGTTGGCATGGCGGCGCCGCGCCGAAGAAGATGTTCACTGTTGCGGTACTCACAGCTGCATATGGTTGGGTCCTTCGCGAGGTTTTTTTGTTTTCACTCCTCGACTTCACAAACGCCAGCACCATCGCTACAATCATCGCCACTCTAAAATCATCAACGCTATTACCTTTTCATCCTGGCATCACCATCATCGTCAACATCGCCACTATTACCATCCCATCATCATCATCGACCTCCATAATCACCACCACCATCATCACCAGCATCGTCGTCATCGACATTATCGTCGTTATCACCACCATCATCATCAGCATCAGCATCATCGTCATAATCAGCAGCATCGTCAACATCGTCACCATTGTCGTCGTCATCATCCTCATCATCATCATCGTCATCGTCATCATCATCATCATCCAGCATCATCATCACTACCATCATCATCATCATTATTACCACCATCATCATCATCATCGCCGTCACCATCACCATCACCACCATCATCAACATCAACATCATCAACATCAGCATCACCACCATCATCAGCAGCAGCATCATCAGCATCATCATATTCATCATCATTATCATTATCATTATCATTATCATCAGCATCAGCATCAGCATCAGCATCATCATCATCATCATCATCATCATCATCATCATCATCATCATCATCATGAGCATCATCAGCATCAGCATCGGCAGCAACACCATCACCACCACCACCACCATCACCGTCACCATCACCATCACAGTCATCGACGCACACACTCACATGCGCACAAGCTCACGCATTCATCTTGCGGAAGTCTCAAGCGAGAGCCTCGTCTGTGAGCGAATCGCGAGGGAGTCTCGAGCACGAACCCCATCCCTATGGCCCCCCCCCCGCTTCATGTTACCAATCCGAGGCCTCCGTCGGGATACCCTGTAAAACCACAGGTGGGAGTCCCCTCTCTATGTGGCGCCCACTTAACGTTACCAATCTGGGGCGGCCATCGGGATATCCTGTCAAAACAAAAGTGGGAGCGTCCTCCCTATGGGCCTCCCCACTTCGTCTTACCAATCCGATGCGGCCGTCGGGATACCTGGCAAAAACACATGTGGGGGCCCCTTTCCTATGGGGCCCCGAGGTGGCCATCGGGACACCCCGTAAAAACACGGGTGGGAGCTCCCTCCCCATGGGCCCCCCGCTTCATGTCACCTTTCCGATGCGGCCATCGGTCGATCATGTAAAAGCACAGGTGTGGTGACACGTGGGAGCTGGAATCTTGAAGACGTTTCGCGCGGGGGACCTGCCTCAGAAGGCCACAGGAAGCTCATGGAGGCTTCAGGAGGCCCCAGGAAGCCTCAGGAGACCCTTGGAGGCCCCAGGAAGCACCAGTATACCCCAGGAGGCCCTAGGGCCATCAGGAATCTCCTAGGAGGCCCCGGAAGGCCAGGAGGCCTTACGAGGATACAGAAGGCTCCATGAAGGCAGGAAGTTCCATGAGGAG